TAAATTATTCTTACTTGACTTGCACTCCAATCCAAAAGTCTTGAGCTCCAAGTCATTCGCACAAAGGCCATTCGGCCGCCTCATCGCGCGCCGCCCTCGGCTAGACCTCCTCGTGCGCGGACTCACACGCTCTGCTTGTGTGATGAAGATCGTGTGTTCCAATTGCCGATAAGCCACGAACCCGCGCCTTGAATCACCGATAGGTGTTTCTCTAGCCACAACCGCGCCTGTTGAAACGAACAAAATTGCAATAGAGATCTAAAAGAAATCTAAGACAAAGTGTTTGAACAGAAGTTTGGATTTTTATTGATAAACTGAATGATGAAAATAACATAGGGGAGGGGCCTTTATATAGGCACAAATTATGTCTAAGCCTAATCTACCTAGGGAACTAATAAAGCAATAAAATATTAGAAATCCTAATTATAATGCAAGATGGAAACTAAATCTCTTGGTGTGCACTCCAAGTAATTCTCTCTCTTTCTCTCTCACGCGTTCGGCCGCCTCACGCACCGCCCGCGTACCTTCGCCCATCGCCCTAGTCCTCGAGGACTAGGGCACCGCCTTTCGCGCGTGCCTTGTCACCCGACGTGTTGTGCAAGCTAGCGCCTGTCGTGCTGCCCTCGTGCGCGTGTCTGCCCACCATACCGCATTCCTCAAGGATTGTGGCTTCGCGCCCCGCGCGTCCTTCCCCATCAGGCGTGTCGCGCATGCTTTTGCTCCTGGCTGCTCCTTTGCATGCGTTCTGCCCCGCCTTTCCTCATGCCTCGAGGCATGAGGCCTTGTCCGCTGCGCGTGCCTTCCCAGCGCGCGACCTTTCCGTGCGTGCGCTCGCCAACCCCGCGCTACGCGCGTCCTGCTCACCTTCGCCATGCGCAACTGCCACGCACGTCACTCGCATAACCGCGTAAGGGTCTTCTTCGCTCGTACCGCGCGCACTACACTCCAGTGCGCGCACTTCTGCCGTCACCCGTGCTTGCCTTTTGCGTGCATGGTATGCACGACTTGCGGCGTTCTTGAGCTGTCTCGCCACTTCCGCATCATTCTCGTCCCCTTCAAGAGATTCCTTGTCCTCAAGGATGAAACTCAGAAACTGGTCACGCATCTCATCAAGGTCTTCCCACTGGCTTCTTCAGGCGGTAGTTCTTTTCAATCAACTAGTACCTCCCAGCGGTAGCGCCCGACTTTTCTTATCTTGCGATACTCGATCACTTGTTTTGGACGTACAATTATCCTCCCGTTAGTCGCAGTTGCGGGTAAATCTTTACATGGATAACCGGATGGATTAGCAAGCTTTCCGACAATTCCAGATGATAATCTACCTAACCAATGCGCTTCAAAATCTGGTAGGGCCCATAGTAGTGCACTCCTAACGTAGTTTTCGCCCTTTGTGCAGTGGTGCGCTGCCTGAACGGTCGCATTTTCAAGTAGACATACTCTCCCGGTGTGTAATTCTCCTCTCGTCGCTTCCCATCCACGAAGGCTTTGGTTCGATTAATCGAGCCTTCGAGATTTTTCTTCAACTCGTGCAACATCAAATCTAGCTCCTCGAGTTCTCAACCGACTTCATTGTTGAACGTGCCTCCTTCTGAGTAGTTGATCAGCGTTGACGGTTTACGCTCGTACACCAGCTCAAATGGAGTCATCTTGGTCGACTCATGGTAGGTAGTATTGTACCAGTACTCAGCCCAGGGCAAATAGTTTTCCCATCTCTTTGGGAATTGATGAACATAGCACCGTACGTATTGCTCAAGGGTTCAGTTGGTTACCTCAGTTTGCCCATCGGTTTGGGGGTGATATGCTGAGCTCATGGATAGCTTGGTTCCCTGCAGCTTGAAGAATCTAGACCAAAAGTTGCTCATAAAGATCTTATCTCGGTCAGAAACTATAGATCGCGGAGCTCCGAGTAACTTCATTACATACTCGACGAACAACCTAGCGATAGATTTGGATATGTAAGGATGTCTAATGGGTATGAAGTGAGCATACTTGGTAAGGCGATCTACCACGACCATTACTCCGTTAAACCCATTAGAACTCGACAGTCCTTCAATGAAATCCATGGTGATGTCTTCCCAGATTGCCTCAGGTACTGGTAGTAGTTGCAGCAGCCCGCTTGGCCGGCGTGAATCAGCCTTAGTGCACTGACAGTCGTCGCACCTTGCGATGTAGTTCCGAACCGTGCCTTGCTGTCCCAGCCAAAAGTAGGTATTGGCTATCCTCATCCATGTGCGGTAGATACCCGAGTGACCTTTAACCTTAGAATCATGGAAGTGTTGCAAGATCTTCTCACGTAGCTGTCCGCTATCAGGAACGAACACTTGGCCTCGATGTAGTAGTAGGTTGTTGTGCAACTCATAATCAGCAATGGTTTCTCCTGCCTTGATCTTCCGGCGTACGTCTTTGCAATAAATATCCTCCTCTTGCGCCTTACGAACTTCCTCCCAGATGGTCCACGTTGGTCCAGTGATAGCATCAAGATCAGCTACATCTGTCCGGTGAGATAAGGCATCAGCTACAACATTCTGTCGACCAGACCGGTAGACTATCTCAAAGTCGAACCCCATAAGCTTCTAGACAAACTTCTGCTGCTCGGAAGTAACAATCCTTTGCTCGAGTAGATGCTTGAGTGGTTGCTGGTCGGTCACAATCCGAAAACGTCACCCCAGCAGATAGGGCCTCCAGCATCTCACAGCTTCGACAACTGCTAGCATCTCCTTGACGTACACAGATAAACCCAATCGAGTGGTGCCTAGCGTCTTGCTAAGATAGGCTAAGGGTAGCCCTTCCTGTACTAATATAGCTCCAATCCCAATATCACTAGCATCCGTGTGGACTTCAAACAAGATATCAAACCATGGCATTGCGAGTACTGGCGTTGTTGTCATGGCGCCCTTCAGTTTCTCAAATGCCTCCTCGTCTGCCTTGGTCCATGTGAACCATCCTTTCTTGGTCATCTCCGTGAGTGGCTTGGCAATGGTTCCATAATCCTTCACAAACTTTCGGTAATAGCTCGTGAGCCCTAGGAATCCTTGGAGTTATATGAGACTCATTGGCTTTGGCCAGTCGACCATCGCCTCTATCTTCCTTGGATCAACCTTCACGCCATTATAAGATATAAAGTGGCCTAGGTACTCGACCATATTCTGCCCGAATGAGCACTTGGACGGCTTGATGTGGATTGAGTTAGCCTCCGAGACTTTGAGCACCACTCTCAAATGCTCCAGATGTTCAGCCCATGACTTGGAATATACCAGTATATCATCAAAGAAGACTAGAACAAACTTACGTAGATGCTCCTTGAAGATGGAATTCATAGCGAACTGGAAAGTGGATGGGGCGTTGCATAGCCCGAATGGCATTACCAAATACTCATAGTGCCCTTGATGCGTATGAAAAGATGTCTTCGGTATGTCGGCCTTGTGGAGTCGAATCTGATGATAACCAGCTCTCAGATTGAGCTTCGAGAAGTAACGTGATCCAGCCAACTCATCGAGCATGTCGTCGACACTAGGAATAAGAAATTGGTCCTTGATAGTCGTGGCATTCAGAGCTCGGTAGTCAGTACAAAACCTCTACGTGCCATCTTTCTTTTTAGCTAACATTAATGGTGAAGAAAACGGACTCTTGCTATGCTGAATTAACCCAGACTCTAGCATCTCAGCTACTTGCCTCTCAATCTCAATTTTCTGGAAGTGAGAGTACCTATAGGGATGGACGTGTACTGCATGCTGCTCATTAATCAGGGGTATGCGATGGTCGAACTCCCGGTGAGGTGGTAGGCCCTTGGGTTCGCGTAGCACTCCTTCGAATTCCTCGAGAAGCTCGCACACATTGCCTTGCTGCTGTTCGGCCTCCTCCGTGCGCGTATCCTTACTTTCGACCAGGACTGCGTATATTTGGCCGCCACTTCGCCAAACTCTTTCTATACTCTTCAACCCAACTAGCTTCGTACCTTTCTCAGTGCCCATACTCAAAGTGACTTGTCGACCTCCAGACTTGAACTCCATAACTCCAGCTCGGTAGTCGGTGGTGACCTTGCCTAATCCCTCGAGCCATTTTACTCCAAGAACAACTTCTGGTCCGACTAGTGGTAAAGCATAGAGATCAGCCTTTACCGTAACTCCTGGGAACTTGATCGGCACCTTTCGAAACAACTCAGTGCATTGCAGCCTCTCACCATTAGCTACTCGAACTTCAAAAGGCTCAATTTTTGTAGTTGGCAGCTTCAGCTTCTGGGACAAGTCAGCATTTATGAAGTTGTGTGATGACCCGTTGTCTACGAGCACAGTCACTCTACGATCCTTGACCCAAGCTGACAATCGCATCGTCCTTGGCCCTCTAATCCCTGCCATTGCGTGCATCAAAATTTCTGCTTCTTCTTCGGGCACATCAACCTCATCCTCCTGATGTGGTTCTTCCTCGTCCTCATATTCTTCTTCATCAGAATTAGCAACTTCGATCACAAAAGCTTGCTTACATAGATGGCCTGGTGTAAATTTTTCTTCACATTTGAAACAGAGGCCTTTCTCACGCCTGATTTTGACCTCCTCAGGAGATAGCCGCCTGTTAATTTTAACTGAAATTAACACTGAAACTGAAAACCGGGACTAAAACTGAAAATAACTGACTGAACTGGTCCAGCCGGTCTGAACCGGCCTGGACCGGACCGCCGGTCCGCTGTGTTGGGTTCTATTAGGAACGTCGACAATGTGCACATTCAAATCTATTGAATAATAAATCCTAACGCAGCGGAATCTATAGTTAGGATTAGGACTTACGGTTTAAAAAATTTTTTGCCGACTCTGAGACGTTTCTGATTTCCGTTGATGGAGATCGTCTGAACACCAAAGTCTAATGGGCAGCTAGACTTTGCCTTTCTCGATTCTAATCGAGTCACCATGCAATCGCTCATCAAGCTCATTGGATCGTCTCGGACCTCCGGTAAGTGAATCGAACTGCTCGGGAACTATCTCGGGCACAAACCGGGGCTGCTGGACAGAGTTGAACCGCTTTTGGACCGCCTGGTAGTCTCTGGACCCGAGCTGGGCCGGTTTGGAGCTTCATGGTCCCGCTGGACGAGTGTTGAACCGTTCTGGGCCGCTTGGACGCACGCTGGGCCGGTCTGGGACCTCGCTGGGCTCAGAGGACAGCTTCTGGGCCGTTCTCCTAGTTGGGCCGCGCGCATGAGCCGTTGGGCCGCGCAACACGTGCATGTGGGCTTAGGAGGGGCGCTGCTGGGGTTGGGCCACGCGGGCCAACACGCGGGCTGGCAGCTGAGTGCGGGATCGGGCTTCACGCGGGCTTAGGCGCGGGCCGTATGCTGGGAACAAAAAAATCTCCTTTTTATGCAAGGAGAAGGGATCGAACCCACGACATCCATGGAGAAGACAGCGCCGCAAGCCACTGTACCACATTCGATAGTTGTGATAATGGAACCTGGGCGAATCCTCAAAAACCTGACCGCGAATTTGAAGGCGTGAACTGCGCGAACTGAAACACCTGGGCGCGGGAATTGGACGCGTAAATTTGGCTGGGAACGGCGGACAGATGCTGGAATGAATCCGGTGAAATTCCCGACGGGATGAACATAATATATCTAACGGGACACGAATCAACAACCTTCGATCTTCTATTGTATGACCTTTACACGATCTCTAATAAATCTTGGTGGAGCGATTTATTAGATTTACCAAAACTTCTTGATCATCTTCTTCTAAGACCTTACGGTGCTAACCGAATTTTCTCTCGAAGAAGAATCTCTCTCTTTCTTTCTCGCTTGAAGAGGCCGAATTTCTCCAGCCCTTCGGGGAGAAAACACGTGTAAAAGCATGTCCAAGAGGTTAGGGGACCTAGTGTATTTATAGGCTACAAT